ATGGAATTCCAGCAAGGTGAGTTCAACGGCCAGATGACCCGACTGCTGCAATTGAAGCAAACGGTGATAGTCGAGGGGGGTGAATTTCGCCATGTTCTCTTGCTGCGTCCATCGTATTTGGGCCGTATTTACCCATATGAAGAGGCGCAAGGGGCCCATGTTGGATCCACCGACTTCCACAACCGTACCACCCTAGCTAGTTTCCCTAAAAGAAGCCACACTACTGCCATAAACGGAGGAGTCCGCGACTGATTGAAGGAGACCAAGACGGCAGGCAAGCGGCAACTAACCAAGACCACTACAAATAGGCGTCATGGCATGAGGGGCAACCACGACACTTACACCAACGGGCGAAGCGCTCACCACTACCCACAGAGTTAGCAAGTAAAAATACTTCGAGAAAAGAGAAGAATTATTGCTTTAGGTGTGGTTTTGTGGGACACTTTGTGGTCCATTGCACGGCCGAGCTTTGTGATAATTGTTTGAAGCCTGGGCATGAATCTGATGATTGTCCGCTTCTGACTATGCCAAAACCTGTGGTTACGATCTATGGTGTCTGCAATAATAGGCTTATGTTTTTCGAATCTCCATGCTCCAACTTGAGAAAAATGCAAGGACAAGGATAGTGTGTGTCTCTGGAGGTTCGTTGTCGGATGATCAGGTGGTGCGGCAGCTTCGGAGACTTGTACCGGGAGATATTCGATGGACACCTATTTTGTTAGAAGAGAATGTGTTTAAGGTGGACTTCCCAAAGAAGGAAGATTTGACAAGGCTGACGGTGTTTGGTATTTTCAAAGTGCCTGACAGTCCTTTATTCGCTGCAGTTCGAGGAGTGGTCTAGTCATGAGCCAAATGGAATCCCTCTGCATGAGATATGGGTGTGGTTCTATGGGGCTCCTTCCAAGCCTCTTAATGATTTTATGAAGGTTTGGAGCATTGGTTCGATGATAGGTAAAACTGAAAAGGTGGACATGCATGGGGTTGCTAGACTTTTGGTAGATGTAGTCAGTATTGGCGATGTTCCACAATATGTAGAGTGGTAACTATAAGAGTAAAGGGTATGAGTCACGCTTGACATTGAAGGTCGTCCTTTTCTAGCTGAGGAGCACTTGGATGATGATATTGATGATCCTAAGGATGGAGCTGGGCATCGGTCTGAACAAATGTGCACCAAATGAGAAAGGTGCTGAAGGTGAACGGTCTGGAGGTAATGATAAGTGCGGGGCTTCGGGGACTACTCCACGTTCTGGGTTGCTGGCAACGCCTGTGGTTAATAAGGCGATCTCCTTTGCTTCTCCGAGTACGAGTATTCGATTTGGGTCGTTTGCGGCGGCCTTGGCTCCTAGTCGGCTCTAGAGCGAGCGTGTGGATGGCGACAACTGGGCGGAGCAGGAGGCTCCACCATTGACGCCCCCACTCTTGCTGTACACACTACCAGGGCGATACTAAGTTTCACGCAGGAGGGGTGCACTCCGCTGGCTGGGCCAAATCTGCAGGGACCGGGTCCTATGTGTCAGGTGGAGGTGGTGCCGCCGACTTACACAATCATACCACCCCTGGTCTCCTTGAAGGAAGCCACACAACTACCATAAACGGAGGAGTCCGCGACGAATCAAAGGAAACCAAGACGTCGAGTGAGAGGCAATTAACCAAGACTACTACAAATAGGCGTCCACCCGATGAGGAGATCTTCAACTGCCAAGATCTCAGGAAACACTAGTTCCAGCCAATTAGCACAATCAGTAGATCCGATCTAGACATCGAAAAGTTGACTTCCAACTCGCCAAGCACATCTTGTACACCACCATTGTAATCCTTCACATACAAGCAGGAGTAGGCTTGTTGCTCGCATAGCAGGGGCCAGAACCTAGGTAAATCAATGCCCATGTCCATTTGGTAACTTGAGGTGATATCCCACTGTCATACAAATTGCGTACGACTTATTTACTTTTGTGAGGTACATTGCGAAAAACACCTCAATTTGACTATCACTTGCAGATTGAGAAATGTATGTATCATCCTATGTCCTTGGATTCCTCTCAACATGTGTTTGTTTGTGAATCAGTTTGTTTTCAGCCAAAGGGATGGCATCCGCGGCGAGGTGCACCTCTAGGTGCCGACCAGCTTGACGTGTGCGGTGTCGCTCACGCGCATCCAGCAGTGTTGTTGATCTACCATGAGTTTGTGGGGCTGTGTTAGAGTAGTTTATACAGTCATGCATAGCCGTTATATAAGGAGCAATCTGCATAACCCACACCTTCACGTGTGTATATATTGGGTTTTTGGCCTCATGGAAATACAAGTTGCATATTTTCTTCACACCTACTACTAGCAGGATATCACAGTAGAGATGTAGTTAGTCTCACAATGCCACTATTGATAAACTAACTTTTCATTCCGAATTGCATAATGCTGCACAGTGGACTTGTGAGATTATTGAAGCAACAAAGAGTTAATCAGTTTGCAATCACAACACTCTTAGATTATTCCTGGAGAGCCCGTTGTCTCAAGAAGAAGTGGAGAAGGTGATTAAGAGCATGCCTTTGGACAAGGCACCGGGGCCGGACGGCTTCACGGGGCGATTCTTCGCCTCCTGTTGGCAGATTATCAAGGTGGGTATTATGAGAGCCTTTGATTTATTCTTCCGTGGAGACATGAGGGGACTCCCGGCCATTAACAAAGCGACAGTCACACTATTGCCGAAGAAGCCGGGAGCAATTGACATCAAAGATTTCAGACACGTGAGCCTCATTCATGGTGCGATCAAACTATTCGACACGGTGCTGGCTTGTAGATTGGCTGATGAACTACCGCACCTCGTGGGCAACCACCAGAGCGCGCTTGTGCGCGGGCAGTCATTGCATGACAATTTCATGCTAGTCCAGTGCACCGCTAGGAGATTACACGCACTCAGAGACCCGGCATTACTACTCAAGTTGGACATCTCCAAAGCATTCGATTCGGTGCAATGGCCGTTCTTGATCGAGGTGATGAAGCAAACGGGCTTCTGCACAAGGTGGATTAACTAGATCTGTGGACTTTTGGTGACATCACCAACGAAGATTGCGGTGAATGGGGTTCCTGGGGAAACAATATTCAACTGCCAGGGACTGCGTCAGGGAGACCCATATCCCCGATGCTTTTCATTCTATGCATGGAGCTTCTGCAGCGTCTATTTGAGCGCGCTACAGCAGCGGGCATCCTCACACCGCTGGCAAGATCGGGGCTTAAACATCGGCTATCTATGTTTGCGAATGATGTCGTCGTTTTCTTGAAGCCGAAGGAATTGGATCTTAGAGCCTCTACTTCCATTTTGGAGCTATTTGGGCATGCATCCGGGCTAAGAATCAACATGGCAAAGAGTGCGGCGGTGTCTATACGATTGCTCTCAGGAGATGGGATTGGAGCAGGACACGCTGGGCTGTTCCACCACAGTTTTCCCTTGCAAATACCTTGGGTTACCCCTCACGATCAGGAAGCAAACGGCAGCCCAATTTCAGTACATGGTTGTTCAGGTTGGCTGCGCGCCTGCCCCGGTGGAAGGCTGCATCGCTCACACGTAGCAGCAGGCTTCTGCTTATTCAGTCCGTACTCTCCACCATTCCAATCCATACGATGCTCGCCATGAGTTTACCACCGAAGACATTAGCTGCCTTGGGAAAGATCTGCCGAGAGTTCCTATGGGCGGGCACGGCAGAGGCCGGAGGGGGATCTTGCTCGGTTGCTTGGGAGAGTGTTTGCCGGCCCAAGTGGGCTGGCGGACTAGGCATTATGAACATGCGGTGGATGAATGTCGCCTTGCAGGCGAAGTGGCTACGGCTTCAAAAGACCGATGCTTCCATACCTTGGGCGGGATTCAACTTCTCGGTACCGGAGGACTCTAGGTCATTATTCGGAGCAGCGACGAGGGCTATCATTGGCAATGGTCGCAAGGTACTCTTCTGGGAGGATAGTTGGTTGGATGGTTCCCGGATCGAGGAACTCGCACCGCTGCTTTATGCGAAGGTGCGTCCGAGGTCAGAGCCTCACGCACGATGGTGGAGGCCCTAACTGATAATGCGTGGGCTAGTGATGTGGGGACGTGACTCACTGTGATGGAGCTGGCGCAGTTCCTGGAGGTTTGGCCTGAGTCGCGATGGTTCAGCTACAACCACTACAGGAGGATCAATGGAGATGGTCTTGGACAGGAGACGGTACATTCTCGGCCAAATCCGCATACACGGCGAAATTTGCGGCCCTGGAGGTGGCACCCACCACGGACTTCACTTGGAAATCGCGCGCACCGCTATGCTGCAGGTTCTTCGCGTGGCTGGCACTCGAGAACAGATGTTGTACGTCTGACAGGTTAGCGTGTAGAGGCCTACCCCATCAAAACGGATGCCCGTTCTGCGATCAGCACGACGAGAGGATTGATCACTTGCTGGTCACCTGTGTCTTTGCAAGAGAAATTTGGGACAGGGTGTGTGCGGCTATGGGCCATACGGATGGTGCTCCGACAGCGAAGGTCTCGCTTCAGGATTGGTGTTTGAGGGCTGGGGCTCATGGTCGCCTCGGCAAGGCGGAGCGGGCTATTCACCTTCTATGCCTTTGGGAACTCTGGAAGCATCGGAACGCGATCGTCTTCGATGGGGCGACGCCGAGCATTAGGTCTGTACTTAGGCGCATTGCATCCGAGAGCAAGGTTTGGCATCTTGCAGGGCTTGTAGGTCGGGAGTTAGATGGCTTCCTAGCGGCGGTTTCGCGGTGGGCATGTGGCGAGTAATCCACTCCATTGTCTTCGATGTAGGTGGAGTGGACTGGGCGTTGCCTGCGTGTAGGCGCATCTTGTAACATATCACGGGGTCTTTCCCATTTCTTCTATATCATATGATACGCACAGCCGTGCGTATTCAGGAAAAAAATACTAAAAGGTAACAAAAATGATAAAATAAAGTAGTATCCATATCCCTTTAATAAGGGAAATAAAGGAAGGATGAGTTAGACATTAGGGGTGGACAAACCTGATATACAGAATAAATAACATTTCTCCGGATTTGAGCCATCATATCCAAGAAAAGATTATATCCCTCAAGTTTATATTCGATAAGGGGGTCTCGTTGAGCATAGCCCCTTAACCCAACAGCTTGTTGCACAAACTTTAAAGCTTGCAAGTGTTCTTTCCAGAGCTTATCAATATTGCTTAGGATTAGGAATCGCTCGGCTTCCTTCATCAAGCCTGGAGCTTGCTTCTCCACAATTTCCTGCCATATAAACAGATAAGTTAGGAAACATGCAAATGTGGAATTACAGCTTGTTTTTGCCAAACTTCCTGATATAATGAGGCCAAAACTACTTTGAAGATATTGTTTTATCATGTGTCATTTGAAGAAAGCACCTTTGATCTCTGAATCTAAGTCTGAACTGAGAAAGCTATTGCTTAATTTTTCTGCTGAGATTGGGTTGGCCACATTATGATACTCCCTCCGTTCCATAACATAGTGCGTATAGATTTTTTGAAGAGTCAAACTTTGTAGACTTTGACTGAGTTTATAGAGAAAACTATTTATATATATAATATCAATTATATAAGATATGAAACCACATTATAATACTCCCTCCGCTCAGTCTTGCTACCGGGCCACCTTCCAGGGAGCGACGGTATGCCACTCCTGGAAGCTCATATGGAGGAGCTGGGCGCCACCAAAAGTGAAATTCTTCCATTGGCTGGCATGTCAAGATCGCTGCTGGACCGCGGAGCGGCTCGCACGCCGTGGCCTGCAGCACCACCCGCGGTGCCTTCTGTGCGACCAGGAACCGGAGACGATCGAGAACTTGATGCTCACGTGCCCTTTCACTAGGCAAACATGGCATGAGGTCCTTTCTTGGCTGCGCTTACCGGCGCCGGCGCCCGAGCACGGCGACTCGCTCATGGACTGGTGGCTGCGCGCGAGGGAATGCACACCGCCAGCGCTCTGCAAGGCGCTGAAATCTGCAGCGCTTTTGGTGCCGTGCATGATCTGGAAGCATAGGAACGCGTGTGTTTTTGACCATATGGGCCCATCGCTCAATGAGCTTGTCGACAGGATTAAGGACGAGGCCCGATGTTGGGCAAAGGCCGGGGCTCGAGGGCTCAGGGTCGTTTTGCCATCATCCGGGGATGTCCACTGATCTCTTGGCGGCTGTGTAACCCTGCCTCCTAGGAGGATGTACATTCTCTTTCTTTCCAATGCAATGAAACGCAAAAGCCATTTGCGTTTTCTCAAAAAAAAAACTACATCTTATGATGAATCTAATGATATAGGTTTGACATTCAAGATGTAAATATTTTTCTCTATAAATTGGTTCAAAGTTTGTGATGTTTGACTTTTCAAAAAATCTATATGCACTACATTATGGAACGGAGGGAGTAGTAAAATATATTCATATGTATTTGCAAGGTGAAACTTCCATTCTTGTTTTCAATGGTTAAATATCTGTTGCATTAATCTAACTATTTTATAATTTTCAGTGTGTATCATGCAAGAAAACTCTACCCATGAGACCAGAAAGAGCAACTAACAGCTTTTTGGAAGTATGCTTCACGCCCTCGGGTTCGAAGGTACTCTTGTAAATCCTCGTAGCTTGAGCATTTACTCTCCAACAGTTCGGGTGTCAAGTCATTTAAAAGGTAACAATACCTGGAAAAAAAATAGAAACATTATGAAGGAGATAATAAATCACTTAGTAGATCGCCTGAAATATACATAATATCAGAAAACTCACTGTTGAACTTTAGCTATCAGCTTGCCAAGATCCCAACTTTCCCTTGGGGTACCAGGACCTATGTTTGCCTTCAAATAGGATGAAAAACTAGCATCATTTTTTTCGAGAAAACGCAAAGGGTTTGCGCTTCATTGCATTGAAAAGATGGGGAGAGTACAGTCCTCCTAGGAGGCTAGTGTTACAAGCATTGAAAACTAGCATCATTTCAGGGTACCTAGTTGCTAACTTTCAATTGCAGTTGTAAACTTTGGCATTAAATAATTAGGAGAAATTACCAAAATAAATCTGTTATGAAAATGGTGGTACCTACTAACTAACCTCTAATATGTCGTCCATTGTTAATTCAGCATACTCCACAATAAGTGACTCCAGGCTACCAGATGCTAGGGCACGTCTTCTTTCTGCATATACCCTATCCCGCTGGCTATTTAATACCTCATCATACTCGAATAGCTGCTTCCTGATATCAAAAAAGTAGTTCTCAACTTTCCGTTGAGCTTCATCTAGGGCCCTTGTTAGCATCTTTGATTCAATAGGAAGATCTTCAACTCTGAAAGCTTGCATCAGACCCTACATGACACAGTTCGCAATGTTTTCAATTTGAATGTACACTATTTTTAACTCTCATGGAATGCTGAAACAGTAGTCTGTAAAAGCCACATGTGCTGAATGGTGTGGTCTGAGACTCAAAGTGTACCAGATAAACTCTTGCAGTATAAACATTTCATATTTGGGATGCACATTGAAAGAATGCCCTGTCTTTTCTGTTCCTAGACAAACAGAATGATGCGGAGCATCCTACTGTCATCCCCATGGACATTTCATCATCACCTCGAACACCAAATGGACCAATGACGAGAGCCCATGCACGTGAAATCGAAACCGAGGTTGCCTCTTTTCTCTTCGAGCTCCCTTTGATTTCATATGAGAAATGGCTTCTACCTCAAACGGAAATTTTGTGCATGACTAGGTATCGAGGAGAAGTTCATGAAGAGGCAAGAGCCTCAAGAAGAAGGAGAAGGAAGAGCTCCAAGACACGAAGCACCGGAGGCTCTCTGGACACCCCGGGTGCCTGCACCCTCCACCCCCGGGTGCCCACACCATCCACCCCCGGGTGCCCGCACCGGCTGGCCCCGTGGGGCGCGGCCCCCTGACTACCCCGGGTGCCCGAGCCTTCACACACCCGGGTGCCCGCCCCACCTCCCTGGGCGCTACCCCGGGTGCCCGGACCTCACCCCCGGGTGCCCGGCCACCTCCTCGCTAATGACCCCGGGTACCCGGCCTCTTTACCCTGGGTGCCCGGACATGTCCGGCTGTGCCTGCGCGCACTTAGGGCGAAATGACCCTTGTAACCCCGTTTTTCCCCCAATTCGTCCCTAGCCTAGAAGTACTCCATATCTAGCTCATTTCTAGGGTTAGCAAAGTATATGATACACTAGAGAGCTTTGCTCCTTGTATCCCCTCCTCTTGGAGATCAATACCCCTCTTTGGGAAGAATCCTTGTGGATTATCAAGGCCTCCTCTTGGAGAAGATCAACATCAAGACCTCATCTCCTTGGAGTGGGAAGAACTCTACCCTAGTGCTATTTTCCTTGAATTGTTCTTGTATGCTTGTGGATCTCATGTATGCTACTCTAGTGGATGTGCGATTTGGGTATGTTTGAGTGATTTTCCCCCTTGTGTTCTTGTGTGTTCATCCTTTTCCCCCCTCCAAGTGTGAAAAGATCTTCCCTAGGGTTTCACCCTACAACACAGAACCTCTCCCCTCCTAATTCACTAATCTGTAGGAAGGACTGGACTTTAAGATTTAACAAATTATAAAAAGACATGCCTAAAGTAGATGGTATTGATTGAGCAATTCTTTGCTTGCAAGTTCCAGTTTGGATACTGCCCCTACATAAAGCTTGTAACTGGTAGTAAAACATCGAATTTATTACTGCTGCGGGTACTATTTAAAACAGGTTTGGAACTTCGGACTAAAAGCTTAGATGTGTGTAGCAGAAGAATTGTGCAAGGTTTTCATTTTTTTGGCTAAGGGCATCTTATTGCAAGCAGAAGCGATTGCTTTGAACTGCACATGGACCCATATCTTCCATAATATTCTGATAGTCTAATCTGAACTTTTTATGACACTTAGTAGTTGCGAGAGGTAGGTGAACTACATTATGAAGGCATGAGGTGCTTTGTTTAGCAGCGAACGGATTCGAATTCGTTGCACACCACCTTCATGAATGAGGAATATACAGATTATCGAATAATCGAAACTTCAAGTTGACCAAATATTCTATTAATCAGAAGCTTTAAGTGGAGTCAAGTAAAGTTGTACAGTACAACAGAAAAGATGGGAAATGCTAAATGACAGGGCTTTGAATGCAACAATCAGAAACTTTGTGCAGCCTTTGATATTGCTGCCACGTTACCCTAAGGGAATAATATAAAATAAAGGAAGGAAATAAAATATACCTGTATCCGGTCACCTCCGAAGATTCGGAAGATGTTATCCTCAAGACTAAGAAAGAAGCGAGAGCTCCCAGGATCCCCTTGCCTGCCACTTCGGCCACGAAGCTACACCAGATAAAAGCAAACCAATCAAAGGTAATGATGGATCTATAAAAAGATACAATGGTGGTATGATACACAACCAAGTCTGAAGGGATCATACCCCTGTTGGGAAGTTGGTAAATGTTTCGGTGTTTTCAACATATAATAGGTAGATCTGTTCTTTGCGAAGTTAACCCCATTGTGACCCCAAATGATTTTTTTTTTCTGTTCTACTAGCTAAATCTAATGGTTCATACTAGAGTCAAGCCTGTCATCCCATGTCGACCATCTAATCACCCATTTGATGGCCTAAAGAGTATTGAATTATCTTAATTAACTCGTTATTACAATTATTACTTCCTCCCCAATCCTCTAATGTATGGATTGCATATTCAAGCAAGAAAATAGCTGGCCTGCTACTTGCTCAATTACCAATAGTTATAATACTATTCATTCTGAAAAAATATCCCTAATAAGGACAATTCATGTTGATATAGGATAATGCGCATTACTTGTCAAAAATCTTTGATTACGTTTTTCTCTGAAACTCAACATCTTGTGAAACATATGTTATGATGCTTCACATCTTTGAAATAAAAGAGTAATCCCAAGAAACACTAGATTGCTCCATTTGCACATGACAAGATAATATTGCAATCTGTGCACAGATGGAGACTCCAACATTTGTTGCACCCAAAACTTGGCACAGATGGAGACTCCAAAATCATGACGAGAAGCCAAAAATCATATAACTCCATCCATTCCCTAAAATTATCATGATTGTGAAGACTCCAAAATCATGACAGGCCTCAAAAGATCATAGTACTCCATCTCATCTGATTTTTGTAAGACTATATGGCCGATTTTCGGCATGCATTTTTTTGCGGGAAACCAATTTTTGCGTATTGATGACAATAGCTTGAATGGGTACTCCCTCCATTTCTGATTTGCGTAAGGCTACAAGGTCAATTTTCAGCTTTTCTTTGCGGGAAGCCGACTTCTCTATATATTCATTCTGCAGGAGGCCAACTTTTGCATACTAATGAAAATACCTTGAACAGTACTCCCTCCATTTGAGAATGGATGTTCTTTTAGAGTTGGGCTCAAGAATTAAGGGTTTGAGTAAAATGTCAATGTTGCCCCATCTCTTTATCCTCCGAAGCTATGTTTTCAAGGCGTCGCCTAGGCGTCGCCTAGGCGACGCCTAGGCGTCAGAGCGCTCGCGAACGTCAAGGCGTCGCCGTCGCTTTAGTTTTTTGTCTAAGGCGTCCGCCTTGTGCTGTTGAGGCGTCCAAGGCGTCGCCTAGGCGTCCAAGGCGCCGCTTTGCTTGATTTTGGACGCCCTGGACATGCGCGGGCAGGTTGAGCGGGAACCAGCAGCTGGCGCGCGCCAGAAAGAGGAATTGGCGGGAGGGAAGAGAAATTGGGCGGGAGAGAGGGGGTAAACAGAGGCAGGAGAGAGAGGGGAACACACCTGTGACTCCAAATCGAGGGGAAAAGAGAGAGGAGCTCTCTCCTCTCAGTCTCTCACGCCGCCGGCCCAGATCCGTTCCTCCTCCGCCGGCCTCCCCCTGTCCGGCCAAGCTCCTCCTCCGCAGGCCCTTCCCCTCTCCGGCCAAGATCCATCTCCGCCGGCCATCCCCCTCTCCGGCCAAGCTCCTCGGCCGCCGGCAGCCCTCTCCCAAGGTACGGCTCCTCTCTGCCTCTCTTTTCCCCTCACCTGCCCATGTTTTCTGATGGTGCTGCTGCTTGTGCCTCACTGCTTTGCCTCTAAGCTAGCCCTCTGTTTAGTATATGCATGTGTAGATGTGGTGCTGTGCCTCTGCCCTCTGCCCACTGCCCTCTATTATAGTAGTGTTAGCTGCAAGTTGTGATTAAAATAGATGCTGATTGTCCTTGTTAGCTGATTAGAATAGTAGGTTAGTGGATCTTCTTTATACTACCTTATTATTAGAATAGTAGCTGTTTGTCCTCTGTGGCTCTGCCCTCTATGGCTGTATTATATTGTTAATTGTTTGCACTTTGCACTTTGCAGTCCCACAATGGCAGATTCAGGAGCTGATGGGGGTGGTGATGCTTATGATCCAATGAAAGATCCAGAACGCAGGCCACGGAGGTCAAATGATCCAGGCTGGAATTATGGGTATTGGTTGACACCTGGCAACAGCAATAATGTTGTGTGCAATCTTTGTGGCAAGATAACTAAAGGAGGGATCAAGAGACACAAAGAGCATCTTGCTGGCACCGGTGGGGATGCAACGGGTTGTCCAAAGGCTACCACACAGCTTAGGAGGGAGATGTTAGAATATTTGGAAAAGAACAGGAGAAACATAGGACAGCCAGATGATGATGATGATGTAGTGGAGGTAGATGTAGCAGGGACAGTTCAAAGCTCCACTAATGAAGCAACAGCTCAATGCTTCGCTACAAGACCAAGTTCAGGGACAGCAGCCAAGAAGAACAAGAAAGCCTTTGCAGTAAAAATATCAGGCAAAAAGTGTCAATCTGTTGCTCTCAAGTCAATTGTTTCCATGCTTAGGAAGAAACCTGAGGATGTTGTCGATGAAAGACGCTCCGGTTGCTCTCAAAGCACCATGGAGTCCAGCACAAAAACACCGGAAGAGAGGCACTATGTGAGTATGCAGTGGGCATTGTTTTTCTATGAGTGTGGCATTCCTTTCAATGTTGCAAGCTGTAGGCAATTCCAGATTGCAATAGAAGCCTCTTGTCAATATGGCCCAGGTTACAAGCCTCCTTCTCCTCATGAGCTGCGAGAGCCATTGCTTAGGGATTGTGTCAAGGAAACAAAAAAGTTGAGGGTGAAGCACGAGGTAGCATGGAAGCAATATGGCTGCACACTAATGTCAGATGGCTGGTCCGATAAAAGGGGACGCCACTTGATCAACTTCCTTGTAAACAGCCCGGCGGGCACTTACTTCTTGGAGTCGGTTGATGCATCAAGTGAATGCCAAGATGCTCGGATGATAGCAGATTTGCTAGAGAAGAGAATCGAGGATGTCGGTAAAGAGTATGTTGTCCAAGTTGTCACCGACAATGGTGCTAACTACAAGGCAGCGGGTAAGATACTAATGGAAAGGATTCCTACACTATATTGGAGTCCATGTGCATGCCATTGCTTGGACCTGATGTTGGAAGATATAGGGAAGCTAAAGCCATTTAAGAGGCCTATTGCACGGGGTAGACGAGTCACCACTTTCATCTATAGGCATGGCAGAATTCTTAGTCTAATGAGGAAGGCAACGGGTGGGCTGGATCTTGTGAGACCCGCAGCCACTCGCTTTGCCACATCCATTCTTGCTCTTAAGAGTTTGGTCAAGCACAAGCAAGCATTGAGGAGTCTATTTACATGTCAAGCATGGGTTGGAAACAAATTGGCCAAAACTGCAGCCGGTTTGAATGTGCAAGACATTGTGCTTTCAGCAGATTGGTGGCATGCAATTGAGGACTGCCTTAGAGCTTCAGGTCCACTACTTCGAGTGCTTAGGGTAGCGGATGGTGATGAGATTCCTGCCATGCCAGAAATGACAGCACTAATGAGGTTTGCAAAGGAGAAGATCAATCAAGGTTTCCCCCACCAAAACAAGCAAGCTTTGCTCAAGAAGATCATTGACATTGTTGACAAACGTTGGGAGAATCAAATGGATCATCCATTATATGGGGCTGCTTTGTTTTTGAACCCTGGAAAATACTTCTCTATTGCTGAGAGTGGTGATGATGCCCTAATTGGGGAGCTAAGAAGTTGTTTTAATGATGTCCTTGCACGAACAGTACTTGATGTCAATACTCGCAACAAGATTGATGCACAAGCCGTTCTCTATGAGGACAAGAGAGGACCCTTTGCTAATCCGATGGCAATCGATAACATGGTCCAGAAAAACCCTCGTAAGTGAACTAAAGTTAATTTCAGCAACAAGCAAGTTAATTTCAGCTTGTTATTTTCTGTACAAAGTATAAACTCCTAATGCATGTGTGTGTTTATTTTACCATTTTAGTTGATTGGTGGCGTTCATATGGTGGTCGGGCAGTTGAGCTACAAAGGTTTGCAAAGCGTACTGTTAGTCTTTGTGCTTCATCATCCGGCTGTGAGAGGAATTGGAGCGCATTTGAACATGTGAGTAACTTCTTTGTCTTTATTTCATCAAGAGAAAGTTAGTTTCAGCAAGTAATCACAGCAAGTTATTTATTCACTCTATTTGCTATTTGTAGATCCATACCAAGAAAAGGAACCGGTTACAACACCGACTCTTGAATGACAATGTTTTTGTTTCATACAACCGGAAGAACTTGGATAGGTTTCAAAAGAGGCGTGAGAAGATGGGTGGCAATAGCTATGACCCTCTAGTCATTGAGGATTTTGATTGGGGCAATGAGTGGGTTGACCCAACAATACCTCCACCCCAAGGTGCTCGAGGGTGTCCCGATGACATTTCATGGGAGCTTGTTGATGAGGCTGTTGGTGCAAGTTCGTCGCTGCAAGGTCGCAACTTTCCTAGAGCTAGCACCATGGCAAGGGGGGCCTCAAATGTTAATGTCCAGTACCAAAGGCAGCGCAAAAGGGCTGCTCCGTCACCAACATTTCTTCATGAAGATGACGAAGAGGATGACCAAGAACAACAACCAAGTATCCCCAATGGAGAGGATGATGATTCAGACTTTCTTCAAGATGATGTTGATGTGACCGATGATGATGAAGATCCAACTAGTGCTGACCAAGATGGCGAAGACAACACAAATACTACCATCGATGAGTTCGATGATGGCTATTGAGAATTGAGTGTGGCCAGCCTTGCTTATGATCATGTGTTTGCCTGTTTGGAACCTAAATTTATGTTGTGAACTTGTGAACCTAAATTATTGTGTTGTGGACTTAGTTTATGTAATATGTAATGCACTCATGTTTGTCATCTTGTTTTGCACTTGCTCTGTCATCTACTCTGTTTTTTTACCAATGGTGATCTATTAATTAAGTTTAGTTTTAACCATATATGATATATGTTCATCTTTATGCAGATTTCTATTGTGGAAGGCAGAAATGGGAAACAAGATGGGAGGAATGGATGCTATGTGGGCTCAACAACCAGGAAATTCAAGGTATGAATCAGTTACATGTCCACTCATGGCTGCCATATTAGTACCCCTAGCGCCTAATAATAAGTGTCTAAGGCGTCGCCTCGCCTCACGCTTTGAGCGCCTAGGCGTTGAGGCGCCCCCCCAGCGCCTTAAAGCGCCTGGACGCCTTGAAAACATAGCTCCGAAGGCAGTAAAGTTCTGACAGTTTTGGAGTACGAGATTTTTTATGGCTAAAGTAGAAATGGATGTTCCATGCAAGTGCATTAAATTTTTTGGAATAGTTCAAACAGTCACAGCAGGCAGGGGAACTAAAAAAATAGGGAAGTGCAAGCTGGCATATGAGTATCTAGATATATTTTTTCATGGCACTGATGAAGGTAAAATAGGAATAAATAACTAAAACTGCATTGGGAGTGTAGAATGACAAGTATTTTGAAAAAAGCTGGAGAGGCTGAAAAGGCATCTATTCTGAAACTGAGGGAATGCCTGATTGTCAATTCTGCGGGACTCATGTCGTTCAGTTCCTACTACATGAAGCCCACCTGTCGCAATGACCTGAATAAATGACGATGATGCCATAATCAGTTCATCACTATGGTCTTCAATAGCAAAGATAAACAAATAAAATATCCTTTCTATGTGCAAACCTTCTTCTTTTCTTCCTCTGTGTAAATCTTAAATTCATCTGCTATCTTCATGAATGCGGTTCTCAGAGTTGAAATTACTTCATCACGTGTCGGTCCCTGACATGTAAAAATACATAGGTGAGTCTGGATTCCTATGCCTGTGGAGAGGGGTCTTAACAGAATATCCAGAGATCAGAATAGCAGTTTCTGATGGTGCTATACCGAAAAAGGCTTTCGCCCCGCTTTATAAATAAAGCAACCACCAAGCACAAAGTATCAAGGTAACAACCGAACAAACCACACACAAAACACAACGCCACCGCAGGCGAATCAAAACCTACTCATCCTTCGGACCCACTAGGACTCTTTCCGAGCCCGGTTCCATATACATGGACGAAGACCATTCCTTTAAAGGAATCTTTCTTATTCGGGCGAAAGTGGCGCAGACGTGTGGCAGGAAGGTGCAAAGCGTTTTGCAGACCACAACTTCGCTCAAGAACCTGTATAGAGCTTTTCCCTTAGCCCTAGACCCCCAACATGTAAAATGGCCTTGGTGATTATGGTACCTTCTATAAGATTACGTTTTGACATATCAATCAGATTTCAGTGAACCAAAATTCTTATTCGGTATCGTTTTTTATTCCGCCTGGTAAGTGGTCTCACGTACATACCTCGGCATAAAATTGCCAGGGGCTCTATAAGGCAACAGATGTGTTGCCAAACAAAAGTCCGAATAGATTTACAGCACAATTCGGCGTCCCGAGCTCGGCATTATATGCATCGGCTCCAAATCATGTCTTTGGTCAACAGTTGGGTTGCCCAGCTCCTGTGCTTGCTATCTTACGTTCCATCTGATTAGCTAGGGTAGTAAAGGGAGAACTACTGTGATTGTGTATCTGGTTCGCCATCCTCCTGTCCTCGGCGAGCACCCGGGTCCTGATGAACGGTGTGCCAGGCCCACCGATATGGCATAAGGTAGGGCTGCGGCAGGGTGACTCCTTGTCCCCGCAGCTGTTCGTGCCCACGGTCGACACTCTCAGTCAGCTGATACGGCGTGCCCATGAAACAGGCATCCTCCAGCCGCTGCATCACGGAGGCCGATACCGGCTATATCTCTATACGTTGATAATGTCAAGCACTTTTGCCATGCCACGAAGACCGACGTGACTGCTGCCAAGGAAATCCTTGCCCTGTTTGGTGGAGCGTCTAGCCTCAAGGTGACCCTGGCCTGGCTACGCATGCCGGCACCGATTCCCAACCAGGAGCCCACCCTCACGGACTGGTGGCAGCACGCCAAGGACAGCACACCGCAAGACAATGCAAGGCCCTACAATCTGTTGCACTACTCGTACCGTGGTTGGTCTGGAAGCATAGGAACCGGTGTGTCTTCGACAACACGATGCCCTCCCTAGGCACACTAGTCGACCGGATCAAGGAGGAAGCCTGTTCCTGGGCAAAGGCCGAAGCAGCAGGCCTTAGAGTAGTCCTACCACCTTCATGTGATGTGCACTGAGCGTTGTACCCGATCTTCGATTGTTCGTCCTAGGACGACTGTAACTGACTTCCTGCCTTTCCAATGAAAAGAAACGCAAAGGTCTTTTGCGTTTTCTCAGAAAAAAATATTTGACACATATTTTAACACTCCACCTTGGCGAATATGACCTCACTATCTTGAAGCCACCATGTGCAAATCTTCGTGTGCCTTGGACTTGAACCATTAATCATGAGTTTCGCTGCTACACCCTTGACTTCACATGACTCCACCTGCAACTGTAGTTCCATCTTTTTCTCCATTATAGTCAATGCTCCCACAAAAGTTATGTTTCTGCACTCTTGTTTTGTGTTACCAATCTCCCAGAGTATCCGTCAACTCTATCACACACCGACCATAAAGTCACCATATCAACAACACCATTGTATCGTCACCCTGGTAGCCTCTTGATCTGTGTGAAAGTGAACAACTCGTATATTAGATGCCACATATAAGAACTTCCGAGCTCACCATTATCGCTATTGTTGACTGCATATTTGAACTTAAAGGAATTCTTGGTTGCCCTTTAGTCATCTCGAGTCAAATTCGCATTTGTCTCATCCTTTTTTCTTAACAGTCTATATGTCCCGTAGCTATAGTACCCCGCCTCTTTTTGCATTTGTCATCCGCACTTTGTCATGTGCACTGAACACCACATAATATACGGCCATGTACTCTCCAAGGTTTTGACATTCAGACTTTCCGCCACTTTTGCATATTCTCCATGGTCAACATTCATCCATCTGACACGTCATACTTGATAGCTCTAGTCACCAACTCAAACCTGGTACTCGCCAAGACTGCTTCACCATCCTCTCTACACTTCGTCGAACCACAAGTCTGACCACCAGTGATATGATCTATCATTGTGTCCCATGCTTACCGCACGCCTCGCCGCTATCACCGTCCAAGCCTTTGTTGTCCCTGACGAATATACTAGGTCGCGAACCCACACCACCTCAATCCTCACTGCAGAGAACAACCGGTCATCACCGACCGATGCCAAGTCTCATGTATCCTTCAAACCACTGGATCCCAGCCCGAACAACATGCCCCTCGCTTTTCCTGCTGAAATAATTTTGACTTACGCCGTAACCTCTGTCAGCATCGAGTTTAGTGTCCCATTAGACCCCAGCTCCACCTTCAACATGACTCCATGGTGGTTGTACATGCCACCCCCGCCCGTCGACTTCAAGCTCTCATGTCTACACCGTCTTGAATCAACCCCACGCCATCGCCATGATGAAAACTAAAGCAAAGTCCCTTGTAGCCTTCCCACGTTAACAAAAAAAGGACATCAACAAAGCTAGCTAGCCAAACTCCTTATTCACCACACGTATGCCGATTTCTTTCTTGATGGCATCACGGCCTGACTCTTAGTCCTTGTGCCGATGTCTATTTTTGAAACAAATCCTCATGATATCCACGCACGACTCCAGGCTGAACATCCAGCGCCTGGGTCTCAACCCCTTTGCATGCAGCCCCTTCATAGACCAGCTCGTGCCAGCATGGGCCGTTGCTCCTGGCCTGGCTCGGCCAGCCCCCTAGGCCAACTCGCCAGCCCCTACAAGAGAACTCTCTGACTCGGATCCGAAACTTACCATCATGATCAATCTGATAACTTGATCCAGCGACTTGTGGCTGCCGATCCCGACTACTCTTCATCTTCTAGATCAAGACAATGACCTCCTTGAAACCTTGATCTGATACCACTTGTTAGAAAAATTCGAGGCGCACATTGATCCGTCAAGGACAAGCAATCACACAAGCACGACACCGAGATTTGTTAACGAGATTCACCAACATGGATACATCCCCAAGGATGACTATGGCGCTCCTCCCCATGTACAAAATCACATGATACAGTCGATGATAAGCCAGCTGAGGCCGTCAGACAGCGCTCTGACCACCACGCATGGCCAGTCCGGCCACCCCTGCCACGGGAGCCAGACCGTCCCTCTCGTGATATCTGTCTTGCCTAGCAGCTTATGTCTAGTCTATTTGGCTACCCCGCAGTCCCCTTATATAATATGCCCAGGTTACACATGTTCGGCTCAAACACCTAACGCTCCGCTAATTATAAGTCCAACTGTACCACAACTTGTACCACAATATTCGACACCTATTTTAACACTTATACTTCAGATTTCAACTAAAAATACATGTGGAATAATCATTTGGTGATAGATACTTAAGTAACCCAAATATCTCTTAATAGAGCATACAAAAATTTGTGATAACTTCAAAAGGCCTACCTTCTCACATGAGTAGGAGAGACGCTCTTCAGCTTCTAGCTCAGGTAATGACTTTTCTCCCCATTCTTTGACAGCCACTTCAACTGCATCTTTGATACATGATAGTGTATCTTCTGAAAGTTCACAAGGGAACAAGCTTTCATTTGTCTGGAAGAGGGGATAGTGCAATAAGCCATTGGGAACTGAACTTCATCACATATTAAATCATAACGCAACAATCTAAAGAATAATTCACAGAATCTTGAAGGCCACTAGTCATTACTGTTTTTTGATAAGGAAGCTTTTATTGAACTCAGATCATTACATCAAGATGATACAATTGCTAAGATCACTCTCGGCCTCTGCATAACTAGTCATCATATGCATATTAAAATAACTACTGAACATATAGTTCATTATTTACCTTCCATGTCTTTCTTGGTGGAAGCTGCTTTTTGGACACAATGACACCATCAACTGGATTGACAATTCTGCAACATGACTTCAGAATCAAAAGAAGATATAAGCAATGTTGAGCACCTGTAGAGGGAAATAATCAGATGCGGTGTCTGATACTATTTGGGAATTCTGCTGACAAGGATTTTAAATACCTTGGCATAAGCATCTCACGCAACTTCAGCCTGGCCATGAATTCCGCATTGCCTCCAAGGATAATATCAGTGCCACGTCCTGCCATATTGGTGGCAATTGTCACTGCACCAAGGCGTCCACTCTGAGCTACAATCTCTGCCTCCCTCTCCACATTCTCTGGTTTAGCATTAAGGACCTTCAAAAGAAAGTTGAAAATAAAAAACTTCAGATTGCTTTAGAGATCTTGGGAAATATAACAGGCGCAAACTAGAGGGTGAGGAGACGTAAACTGGAGTACATTTAATAAACTTACAAAGTCTGTACAACAACAACAACAACAACAACAACAACAACAACAACAAAGTCTTTTAGCTTTTAGTCCCAAACAAGTTGGGGTAGGCTAGAGTTGAAACCCATAAGATCTCGAAAACCAAGTCATGGTTCTGGCATGTGGCTAGCTAACTTCCATGCACCCCTGTCCATAGCTAGTTCCTTGCTGATATTCCAATCGTTCAGATCTCTCTTAACGGACTCCTCCCATGTCAAGTTTGGTCTACCCCGACCTCTCTTGACACTATAAGCACGCTTTATCTGTCCGCTGCGCACTGGCGCTTCTGGGGGCCTCCGTTGTTTATGCCCAAACCATCTCAGACGATGTTGGACAAGCTTCTCTTCAATCGGTGCTACCACAACTCTATAACGTACATCATCATTCCGGACCTGATCCTAAATAAACTTACAAAGTCTATTTAACAGAAAGTTGCTAACAAACTAAATTTTGAAAGAAAAAAGAACTAGTTAACTATGTGGAGTGTGAGAAGGCAGAAAGCCAAAAACTTTATTTTGTACTATTATGCAGTTTCCATTAACGTGACAGTGACGATGTTGTGCTAAACAGGGAAGGCAGGACTAGGTACCGTTTGTGAAGCTAACAAGCATACCTCGTGAGGAATCCCTGCTTCACGTAGTTGTTCAGACAAAGTTTCACTTTGCTCAACACTAGTTGTACCAACAAGCACAGGACGGCAAGCTTTATTCATTCTTGATATCTCCACAACAGCAGCACGCCATTTTCCACTTGTTGCTCTGAAAACAACATCTGAATCGTCCTGCAAAGGAAGAAGCATAGTCGAATATTCTCAGAAAGGGGGGACTTGGAAAATTGAATCGAGAGACCTACAATTACTACAAATTAAATGTGCACAATGAAACAGGATGGCAATCACCTTCCTTATCATAGGCTTATTCGTTGGAACAACTGTAACTTTTAGTTTGTATATGCTCTCGAACTCCTGTCTTTCTGTAGCTGCAGTTCCAGTCATGCCACAGAGTTTCGGAAACTGTCATAAAACGTATCAGTTTCCTGCCAAATAACCCAGTGAACATCTCCAAAAGTAAACGGAAGAGAGTGATCAATCTAGCACAGTGAGCCATACATTCTTCATCACATTTACAATTTACCACTATCAACGGAAATGCTCAACAATGGGCTTTTTAGATGAATGCTCAACAATGGTTAGCGGCTGTTAAAGCTCAATTAGCGTTGAAGATGATATAGCCAGTCAATGATTATTGGCTTATTGGCACTTACCATTTCGCAGAGGTCAATACATTTAAGGATTAGAACGAAAGGATCGTCACTTGCCTGAAGAAAGAAGTTCTGGTAACTTATAGATGCGAGGGTTATGGTTTCATTCTGTATCTGCACACCTTCTTTTGCCTCAATTGCTTGGTGGAGTCCATCACTCCATCTTCTGCCCTGCCAAAATAAAACAATATACCTTAAACAAAGAAACTAATCTACAAACTCTTTATGTTTAGATCATCACCCATGGCTTACATTTTACAATTGCACTAGATTTTGCCCCTATCTTTGAGATACACTAATTGTTTCAAAATAAAGAGATTTGCCAGACCATCAAAATAACCTGATATAATAATAATCATAAGTCAGTCATCACTTGAGGCTTGTGTCTTTTGCCCTCTCATTTATCTTCAGACATTGCGTGGATGAATATTTGTAAGCCGTAGTGAAGGATGAGGAGATCAAGCATAGATAGCGAGAATACTTCGGCAAGCTGTTCAATGGGGAGAATGAGAGATCTACCATTGAGCTGGACGACTCCTTCGATTGTGCAACAAATCCAGGAGACTGAAGTCAGGGAGGCTTTAGAAAGGATGAAAGAAGGCAAGGCGACGGCCTCTGATTGTATCCCATTGAGGTGTGGAGAAGCCTTGAAGACATAGCGATAGTATGGCTAACTAAGCTTTTCAACCTCATTTTTCGATCAAACAAGATGACCGAAGAATGGAGGCAGAGTATATTAGTACCAATCTTCAAGAACAAGGGGGATGTTCAAAGTTGTACTAGTTGCCATGGAATTAAGCTGATGAGCCAAGAATTAAGCTAGCAGAAGTCATTGAGCACCGCTTAAGAAAAATGACAAGTGTGACCAAGAATCAGTTTGGTTTCATGCCTGGGAGGTCGACCATGGAAGCTATTTTCTTTGTACGACAACTTATGGAGAGATAAATGGAGCAAAAGAAGGACCTTTTGTAGCTACCACCCTTCAGCCTGATACCCATGAGAGATGGAAATCAGATCCGTACTACCCTGTTGTTCCTTCAGTGGCTGGTCTAGTTGCTCCCCCTGATGTGCAACACTATTACCATGCTTCCTTGAATACACCTTCAGGTGCTCCTCTTGCTCTGTTGTCCAGCTCGGCACACTACCAATCGGAGCAGATGCAACATCATCTTGTCCACCTCAGCACACTACCAATCGGAGCAGATGCAACATCATCTTGTCCACCTCGGCACACTACCAATCGGAGCTGATACAACATCATCACCTCGCTTCCGTGAATAGACCTTTAGGTGCTCCTCTTGCTCTGTTGTCCACCTCGGCACACCTCTAGGCACGCTATCAATTTGAGTCGGTGCACAAACCTGCACATCACCGGTGTAGGTCAATGCTTGTGTCAAAGGAGTCACATGAGCTAATGTGCTATTACTCTCCCCCTCTTGACCAATTTCACCAACCTGAGATGGGTCAAGGCCTTCAAACATAACACCGAGATCAGTTTTTTCACCCTAGAAAGGTTCCGATTCACGAAATGTAACATCCATGCTCACAAATGTTCTCTCAGATGGACTCCAACATTTGTACCCTCTTTGTCCTGAAGAATACCCAATAAAGATGCACTTGACTGCCGGACGATCCAATTTATTGACTGATGGCCTATGATCACGATCAAAACAAGTGCAACCAAACACCTTGGGAGGAACTGGAAATTTATTTCTGTGAAAACCAACTCACACGGTGATTTCGTACCTGTCACCTAGGATGCATGCAATTGATCAAGAAGGTGGCCATCATGACAACTTCACTCCAAAGGAACTTGGGCACATCCATGGTGAACATCAATGCCCGGGCCATCTCCAGTAGGTGGCGATTTTTCCTTTCAGACACTCGATTTTGAGGTGTGTCCACACAAGATGTTTGATGCAGGATGCCCTTGTCAGAAATGAAGGCACCAATGGCCTTGTTAACATACTCAGTGCCATTGTCTGATTTGAGTGCTTGAATTGTCACATTAAATTGAGTCTGAACAAGTGCATAAAAAGTTTTTGAACACCGGAACACCTTATCTTTATGTCTCGGGAATCAATGAATGTAACGGAGTACTGCATACCACTGGTAGATAACACTAGACATGTCCATACATCATAATGGATTAACACAGAAGAAGATATGCTCATGATCTCCTTACTCACATATGAGCTTCTGGTATGTTTAGCAAACTCACACGCATCACAGTTCAGCTTGCTCTTGTCCACACCACTCATTACATCAACAAATACTTGATACATTTTGTCAAAAGACAGATGTCCCATACTACAGTGATGGATTAAGGCTCTAGTCTCCTTATCATCAGCAACTGCAGCTAGCATGTGCATTCCCTCCCGGTCTGTCTTGCTACGGTCCATGTACCACAGCCCCCTACGCCTCGCTGCAGTCCCAAGACTCTTGCCCATTGATCTCTCCTGGATCGAGCACACAACCTTGTCCATAATTATTCGACAATTAATTTGGTCAATCAAAGCACTCAAGGATACTAAGTTGACGGAAAAGTGCAGCTGACTGTCCCAACTGTTGTGATGGGCTAGGTTGTGCCACTGCCGTGTAAATAGTTTTCTAATGTGTGTGGGACTGCGGAATATGGGATGCGAACTCATTAAAGTCTCCAGAAACATGTTGTGATGCTACAGAGTCAAACACCCATGCATAATTTATTTTATGGGATGCTATTGATGCGTGTTCAAAACTAGCCATGGACAGGGGTGCGTGGAAGTTAGCTATCCACGTTGATGCGGAGCATCCCAAGGTCATCCCCATGGACCTACCATCGTCTCATCAAGTGCCTACTGGACCCATGACTCGATCACGTGCAAGAGCCTTTGAAACCGAGGTGACATCTCTCCTCTCACAATTCCACTTCGATGCGCATGAAGCATGGCTACTACCTCATATGGATACTTTGTGCATACTCAGGTACAATGGAGAAGCTAAGGAGTAAGGACAAGAAGAAGAGGAAGATGGACGAGAAGACGGAGAAGAAGAAGAGACAGGCGTCAACTCTCTGGACAGCCCGGAACTTCCGGCCAGAGCCCGGAACTTCCGGCCCCCGGACCTTCCGGCCGACCCGGAGCTTCCGGCCTCCGACGACTCCGACCAGCCCAGGCGTGCCAACTCTCGGGTTAGCCGGATCCCGCCCCGGACCTTTCGGCGCCCGGAACTTCCGGCCTGCCCGGACCTTCCGGCCCCCGGATGCCAGCACAGCTCCACCACGCCATCTCTCTGGTTAGGTCGGACCCTCCCCGGAACCTCCGGCGCCCGGAACTTCCGGCCCTGCCTGCGCGCAGCCACTCGGGCCCGAGGCCCATGTACCCCTTCACTTCGTCCCCCTTTTGCACTTAGACTATAAATAGACCCCCCTTTCATCCTAGCTAGGGTTAGCGTTGGTTTAGCTCATACTTAGAGATAGAGCTTCGCTCATCCACATCGGATCTACTCCTCGTGAGAGACCGCGGCCTCTTCGGAGAAGATCCCTTTGGATTCAAGCCCCCTTTCTAAAGGAAGATCCCCCCGTGGATTCAAGACCTCACGGAGAAGAACCGGTTACCTCTTGTATCGTCCGTTGTTGACTTTGGATCTTGTATCGTTCTATGTACCCGAGGATCTAGCACATGTGTGACTTGTTCTTGTTAGTTTGAGTGTTCCTCTTGTGTTTCCCCTTGTGTTTTCCCTCGTTTCCCTCCTCGTGTTCTTCGCGTTCTTCGCGGGATCCGCTCCTTTCGTGAAAGATCGGGCGATTAGGGTTCTACCCTACATCATCTTGGTATCATGAGCAAGGTTGATCACGATTTCGGAGCCCCCCTCTTTGTTTTTCTAGCTTGATTTTGTTGTTTTTCGTTCTAATCTGAAAATTCCCCACAAAAATAGCCCCAAATTTTTTTTATGATTTGTTCGTGTGTTGAGATTTTGTTGGTTTTGATCCGTGAAGTTTGTGTGTGGCTCGTAGATCTAGCCTCCCCACCTTATTTTCCTCCAATTTCTTCTTCTTCCCCTTTGGATCTGGCCTTTTCCCCAAGTTTTTCCGCCCAAATCCACGAAGCCTAAGTCCCTGTTCTTGGCAGAATCCCGACCCCCGGAACTTCCGGTCCAGCCCGGACATTCCGGCCCCCAGACCTTCCGGCCTCCCCGGAACCTCCGGACCCCGGACCCTCCGTCTTGCCCAGAACTTCCGGCTTCGACAGAAAGTCTGCACTACCTCCACATCTCCGCCAAATTCCACCAAATTTTGTTTCGGTGCTCACCATATGCCATATATACTTCCGCATACCTCCACCATTTCCGCAAAACCGTCCCAATATCCATACCCACACCACCACCTAACCGCCACCTATTCCGACGATTTTGGTCGCCTTTGGTTTTGAGATTTTGAGTTGCGGTACCGTATCCTTTTGTGTTTCGGCTATCTAGGTACGGTTCGACATCGACATCACCGCCGCTCATTTTCGCCACGGACGCGTCATCAACACCGGTCATCAACAACGACCACCTCGACTACGACTTGGTACTCGTGCCACCATTTTGACACCATACCGGAAGCAAGGCCGGTAACCTCATCTTGGTATTGGACATATCACTCTTGCCATTACATTGATAGCCATCATAGCCTTACTCCTTTGCGTTGCTTACCCATCGAGACTAGCCATTGAGTATTGCCGGCAACGAGACTTATGCACATTAGTGATCATACTTCCCATAGCATACATACCATCATCGTGTTGCATCTCTTGGTATCATCTCTTGTGTCACAAAGTTGTCATCGCATACTCACTTGCTATATTGGTTCGTCAAGCATTGCATGAGAAAAGAGCTCAAACTTCAAAGAGCCAAACAAGCTTTTAAGCAAAGAGGAAAGATAAGCAAAGAGCTTTTAAGCAAGAACCATAGCATCATACAACATTAAGATTGTCATACTCAATCATATTGGATCATATCATAGCAACACCTTGCATAAAACATATTTGGGATAGAAGTCGTTGCATTTTTGCTAAGTAGGTTGTGCACAAGTTCTTGTATCCGCCTATCGTGCAATCGTGCTAGCGTCTCTCTAGTGTTGCGCAACAAGAGCATTTTCGTGGATTCCACATTTTGGCTCACCCTTGGTTGCACAACCCCATC